GTTATGAGTGCCCCCTGGAAGAATTTAGAGCCAGAACATACCAAAGAGTACCATAGTATGTTTAGAATTACCATCCCATACCACCAGATTATTGTCTGTAAGGAACACAAAACAAAGGTACAAGGTGCCATAATGTGTTGTACATTTAACATAGTAGTACCACATAAACACCATGGTACCATTACAGTACTTTTTGTAACCACTATCCTCCTCAGTTGTTAAATATAGCAGTAGACTTCATGACAAGGATTTGCCTTGGATGGAAACATTCAAAAATGTGTTTGTCATGCTGTTTGTTTGTTTTTTATGCTGTCATTTGACCTTTTGACGTGGAGGCAGTCAGTACCAGTAATAATAAAGCCCAAAGTATACTTTGCACAGTCGAACGCTCAGCCTTTCAAAGCCATTTAGAGTGCGCGCACGCATGCGCGATATTGATCCCAGTGTCGCTTTACCTCTCCAAACGTTTTGAGCGATAAAAATGTCTTTGTATTTGTTAGTCGCTGGTGTATTTTAATCCCCTTAGACAATCGCTTGTCAATGCAGAAGTCTATATTGTTTTTGTCATCGTAGTTTGTTACTGTTCTCATTCCATTTCTTTTCTGACTGCGAAACAACGGGCAGAACCAGTGTCGCCACCTTGTGGACAACCTATTTAGTGCAAAAAAAAATATATTGTTGGCTCTTATAATTGCTCATGTTCCTCTAAAATAAAATAAGATGTAAGATAAATAATATAAAAGATAAATAAAACCCTGGGATGGTCTGGCCATCTACTGAGGGTGTTTCCCTTTAAAATTTAAATTAAATAAAAGAATAAATAATAAAACCTGGCTTTGTACAAAATGAATATTGTTGTCTTTGGATAAAAGCATGTGCTAAATAAAATAAAATAAATCTGTAAACCTGTGATGGTCTGGCCATTCGTTGAGAGAGTTTCTCTACCTTCAACATTTATTTTGGAGAATGGATGGATGGATGGATGAAAAATAAAACCAAAAGAAAAAGAAAAAAATGGATTTGGATTTGCTATGTGTCGAATTTCACATATCCTGCTTTGGATAAAAGTATCTGCTAAATGCATGAATGGAAATGTCAAAACAATACAATAAAATAACATTGTGAGACGTATGAGCCCTGTGTATGGTCATCATGTGTTTTGGATGTTGGTGTGCACCAATATTTTTAACTAGCTTGGCTTGCAAGACTTGCTTTTTCAACCAGCTTGTTCAAAGAGCAAATTTCTGAACAAGATGCTTGACTTCATGTTGCTCGGGATGGACTGTCCCTTATCCCCTCACTATAACTTAGCTATCAGTGAATGAAGTACGACTAGTAAACAGACTTGTTTGTCATTCTGCCCACGCACTAGATCTATTCGCATTAACAGATTTGCCTTGGAAATGCTTACAGGCTTCCATCAAAAACGGCCCAAAACTATGCAAAACAGCAGAAGGGTGTCCCATTACTGACGCCCATGATGTAGATAGAAAGGATTGGGTTGGTTCATTAGAGGTCCATCAGATGACCTTTGGTTTGGCCTCAACTGATCATAGTTTACATTTATGATGGCAGTACAGTCAAATAAGATGCGTGTAAATGACGCTAATGGCTTTAGCATTTAACTGCAATGTTTCTTAGTCTACGAACTCCTGTAATTGTCTTATTTTTTTAAGTGGATTTGAGTTGCTTCACAGTGTAAAATGCAAATGGGACGCTGAGAATTTATTACCTTACATTAACCTACATCTGATTTTTCAAGTGTTGAGAGATGCATAACACATTTAGATTTCCAAACCTGTCTTGGTCTCAAAGCCTTCTTCTTTTAATGGCATAATCCCATTTAACCACATTGGTTTTCAACTGGAGATTCATAAACTATTGGATTTGTGCTATACATTTTGCTCGACTATAATCAAGTCAAGCAAAATATCCCATTAAAGTCATTCTTGTTCTAAGTGACTCTTCCACTTCTACTTGGTATAAAGACATAAAAATACAGTCATGTAATGTATAGATCCACAGTTACTCACTCATCTCAAGACGTCTCTTCTCTTACCCCGTCAGATGAGGCAGGCGTCCTGGACGTTGAGACTGTAGTTTGCTTCTTTGTTGTCTTTTGGAGAGAATGAGATGTGTTAGTCTTTTCTCAGTGCCGTCACTCTCTCTCTTTGTACATCTACCATGCTTTTCCTGACACGTTTTACACAGAAAAACAAAAACAACATGAGTCACTCCACCACTTTCTTTCTTTTTTAGTTTCTCTCTACCTCTGTGTTGTAAAGAATGGCAGCATTTGAATACTGGAGCAGCAGGCAGGAGGAAATGCACAGTGAGTAGTCAAATAGAGCTGCCAGGCAGATCGGCAGTGTAAACTCTACAAACCTGACCTGAAAGAGAGAGAACCGAAGAGGGAATAGAGAATACATACCTGAGCAGAAGAGAAGACTGTGAGCCAAAAGCCTTCTATCTTTACTTCACCAAGTTACTGTGACAGTACCATGCTGATATATACAGTGGGGCAAAAAAGTATTTAGTCAGCCACCAATTATATATATATATACGTATATACACATTATGTTTGCCATCTAGAAATTCTGCTTAAAATAAAATTATAAATACATTTTGTTAGTTCTGTTAATATAAACATGTTCTTATAATTTTAAGGCGTTATTAAACGTAACACTTTACCAATACCAACAGGGAAAACTTTTGGTTTTGTTCAAACGTTCTTCATACTCTTATTCATAAACAACAAAAATCAAGCTGCACGTTCCTGCTGTGACTGCATGCAAAAAGAGCCAAAAAAGGTGTTAAATTCATTGAACTGAAATCATTTATTTACACAACGTGCAAATACATAAACATTTCCTTCAAATTGATAACTCCACACCTCAGCATTCACATAATAGTCAAATAAGCACATCAGTGTAACCTTCACATCTTTCCGTACCATTAAAACAACATTACATAATACATGTATGTCCTTGCTGGGTTTGGTCATCAATATTCTGCTGATGTTATATAGTGGCGGCAAAAAGTATTTCAACACTTTAAAATGTGTCTTGTCATTGCATTACAGAGCAAAATGTAGTATCGAAGCAAGCCGTTGACAAATGCTAAATATCATGATGATACACTCTAAAAAATGCTGGGTTAAATACAACCCAGTGCTGGGTGAAATAGGGACAAACCCAGCAATCGGGCTGTTTTGGCCCAGCGGTTGGGTTAAATGCTGGGTTTGTCCCTATTTTACCCAGCACTGGGTTGTATTTAACCCAACATTTTTTTAGAGTGTAGTCAATCTGATGAACTAGACCTGTATAAATGTGAGGAGAACTGGCTTCATACATTCAAATGACCAAAACACCAGCTTTAGTTCAAAGACACTAAACAAAAATAATAAAATGATTCAATATATTTTTTTAATATAATACATTAAATGTAAACAAAATCAAATCCATACAATAAAAACATGAATAAATAAAATAAAAACATAAACAATTAAAATACATAATGTAAAAATAAAATGCAGTTTGTATTGAGAAAAGCACTAGCAGCATTTGCTTGATATTTTGTGATCTAATGCAATGACATTCAGGCAGTTTTAAGTGTGACTTAAGTGTACAAATACTTTTTGGGGGTCGATGTATATTTATGCAGAAAGACATAAAACAAACAAATACTCTTTGGTTGGTATATTTGTGTTGAACATTAACTGTTCTCATTACGTGTCAAATCAACATTGCCATGTTGGCAAGACAGTATTTTCAGAAAAAAAAGCTGCAATCTTCTTTTTTATTCTAGAACTATAGTCCTAATAATAAAGAAATATATATATATTATAAACAACAATGACAGAAAGCACATTGCATGACTGATTTTCACTGACTTCTCCATCGTCTGATCATCTGTTTCAGGGAAAATATTGAGATCTGCTGTTTATGTATTGAATTCTCTAAGCATCCTCTCCCTCTCCTCAGGGTCTCTCCGTGTGTGAAACACAAGACCAGGCTGTTTACATAAATGTTTGAATGTGTTTATGCTTCTATGTGAAAAATGATTCAGCCTTCCATGTTGCCAAACCCTGAGTCTGTGAATGTAACTGTCAGTGTGTGTGTGTGTGCAGGGAGAGAAAGAGACTGAGATTTGACATCTATGTGCTTTCTGCATGAATGATTTTGACCCATTAGCAATTACTTAATGAAAAGTGTAAATAAAAGGTCTCCAACAGGAGTGTAAAAAGTACAGGGAAATTATACTCAAGGTAGAATACAGGTATGTTTTTTCTTCTAAATTTCACACACACAGAGTCCACATTTAATTGTAGTTAAACATTAGATACCAAAAATAAACATTATTTTTAGCTTAAGAAATAGATTGTCCCATTAAATTAACATACATTTTCGATGCACAAACTTTGTTAACTTTTTACTCAGTTTTTCCATTTTAATTACTCAAGACAAATGCTCAAGAAACATTAAAGTTAGCCCAAACTTTTTATCTAAAGTCATGTTTGCACATCTTATCTTGGTCTTCGGTATAACGGTGGTTATAATCCAAGAGGTTTAATCAAATTCTTCACAATGTTAAATGTTATTGTGGCCGCTTATTTTTCAGAGTTAAATGGATTTGGCAGTTTTAAATATTCAAATAAAAGTTAAGCAAAATTATTTGACTGGCTTGTTAGTTAAGCAAGCCTATATATATATATATATATATATATATATATATATATACTGCATGAAGAACTCAAAGAACAGGAAAAACATAGAACCCAAAGAGAGAGTGAAGCACTAAAGCAAGACAAAGATATTGGTGTCAGAAAAGAGGCTATATAGTAAATGCAAACACTGTGCAGTTATACACCTTATACTGAGGAGAATGTCTCTTGCTGTTTAGAATGGGAATATTAGTAGCCAATATCTTTAATGTGTCTAAATATTTCCTTTAACTTAAATTCAGTAACTGTCCCTGTACTCTATTTTTGTTACAGTATCTTGGTTCTCGAGCCCCAGAACCAGTGAAGAAAAAAGTTTTAGAAATGATGTACAGCTGGACTGTGAGTTTACCAGAAGAGACAAAGATTTCTGATGCTTATCAGATGCTTAAGAAACAAGGTAACCTGACATGCAAAGTCCCGATTTGTCATAACTAACATATATTTAACTACATCTCACAGCTGATACATGTGTGGTCAATGGCTATTCTGATATTGGTACTTTCGTGAGTGCTTTTAAAAGTTATGGTAAACAAACACAATTTGCTTGTGTAAAATCATAACGCTCTCTCATGGGACTCGCTGTTTGTCCTATGTTGGTGTTGTGAATGTGTGTTGTGGAGTGTTTGTTTGGTAATACATGAGCTACATTATGTTTATGCTCTGCGTCTCCTTTAGGTATCATTAAACAGGACCCAGATCTTCCTGATGACAAGTCCTGCCCTCCTCCACCGCCCAGACCCAAAAACGCCATCTTTGAGGATGAGGAGAAATCAAAGGTTGTTGAGATGCAGTTTAGGATGATGATGTTTTATGTTTATTTTCCTATGTCTTTACTCCGTGTACTGTGATTGAAACTTAAAAAGGATTCGGGAGTAAGGTTGGTCAATTTGACTTGTGTGACGGACACAAAACTATGTTACTATATGTTTGTAAACCATGAGCTAATGAAGCATTTTAAACGGGTCATATGATGCGATTTCAATTTTTCCTTTCTCTTTGGAGTGTTACAAGCTCTTGGTGCATAAAGAAGATCTTTAAAGTTGCAAAGACTAAAGTCTCAAATCCAAAGAGATATTCTTTATAAAAGTTAAGAGTCAGCCACACCTACCTAAAACGGCTCGTTCTAACACGCCCCCACATGTCTATGTCACGATGTGGGAAGATTTGCATAA